TACACATGTGAGATATCTGTTTTTAAACAAGATCAAGCTATTTAAATAAAACTACGGTATTATTCTTTTATATAATTTTACTAGTATATAAGTAGGACCATGGCGAATCGGTGGACTATATAATATATGTATATATAGCTACCATAGAAACGATCGGAAAATTTTAAAGAAAACAATGCATAACTTTCCAGTTTTCAACAGATTTTCACCAAATTTGATATATAGTAACTATATATTAAACTGGAATTTTGTGTAAAATTTTTATGCAAATCGGACTACTATATCATATAGCTTCCATGCAAACGATCGTTAAAATTAAAGGAAATAACAAATCGGTGAATTTGAAACTGTAAATATAGAATGTATAGGTGTGCAATGAAACCAATCAATTATATGATAATCCCAACAAATCTTGACTACAACTTATTAATGGTTTACTTATAAAATTCCATCTGCTGGAGTTATTTCGTCAACATTTTTCGATTACGAGCACAAAAAGTGTAATAATTCCCCAAGCCTCCCAAGCCAAAAGTGCAGTCAAAAAACCACTGTGTTTGTTCGGTTTTCACTAAAGAATTTGAAATTAATTTGTTTAACAACAAAAATCGTATAATAACTCAAAGTCGCAGCAGCAGCTGCTCCTGCCTGGTCCCAATCCCCTTCCCCAGGTTGGACACCTACGCGTCTCAAACATTTTTCACTCCGCACGATGCCAAAACGTCTACACGTCTACGTCTATGTCTGGGCCCCGGTCTCCCCCTTGGGCCGCCACATCTCCCCGGCATTTTCGCCAGATAATCAGTAACAAATAACAAATGCAAGAGCAACAAGACATGAGAGAAAATGCCGGCAATAACCGGCTTTTCACGTCAGACTCTCTCAATCGGGAGAGGGGTTTTTTTTTTGTTTGTTTTCCGATTTTCATTAGAGAGGCGCCTAAATAAATGAATGAAAAACAACAAAAAGAGCGAAAGAAATGCGATAGGAATGCCGGCAAAAGAGACAGGTGAAGGCGTACGACATTGGCTTAATCAATGCAGTTGAACGAGATCAGTAATCGACGATAGCCTGCCGATCAGGCAGCCATCAGCGATCAACGATCAACGATCACCCATCGAAATTGATTGACGAAAGTCAATGGGCGCACGCTCAAAATCAATTAAATATTCGGACTTTGAGGCGAGGCGATAAAATCGACGAACAATCCATTCCATCGTGGGAGAGGATCGGATCGCAGATCGTTGAGCGATCATTGACAGCAGATTGTTGTGGCTTTGGTACTGCACATGCATAATGTAATCCTCCGCTATATGTATCTAAATGTCCGAGACATTTTGCATAAGTGCCACAATTGGCTGATCGCCGTTGACGATCTGTGAATTTTATGGGCACGGTCTACAGTCACTGGAAACAATAAAGGATGCCTGTTAAGCAAGTTTTAATCGATGGTTATAAATCAAGTTTTGCTTAATCTCTTTTCCATTTGCCCATCAAGCTTAAAATAATATAATACGCGAATTTTAGTGGTGATAAATAGAAGGTAAAATTGATTTAGGAGGTACTTTTACCACTAAACTTTAAATACTTTCTTTAAAATGATTCATGATTCAACCCTTATTCTATTGCAATACAAAATTCCCGATTATTAAATGAATTTTTATAATTTTTTCATGTGCATCTGCGCTTTACTATATGTGTTCCACACATGATAATGGCTTTTTGCCAAGTTTGATTACGCTAAACAAGATCATGATGCATTTGAAAGCCCAAATTGTAAAGTCTTGACGGTGGAGAGTCCTTTGCATCGAAAGTGAAAGTAATTCCCCGACCGGCGAAAGATTCGCTTGCCGATCACCTGCCAGATACAGATACACTTGGCGAATGTGTGAAATGTCTGGAAGGCCAAATGGATTTTGATTCTGTTGGCTGCGTGCTACCCAACGCTACCGACGAAGCGGCTGGAAAAATTTATTTATGTCTGTCAGGAGGCGCTGGCGAAAATTGTTCGAGGAAAATGCAAAAAATGAAAGTAAATTTCGTACTGATAAAGCCATTTACGGGGCAAGCCAGACACAAACATGACATCAAATCGAAGCCAGGTTTGATTCGAGCCCATTTAACACTTTTACCACCCTCGATATAGCCAGTCGGTGCAATAAAATCGAGCTGCTTGCCGATATGGAAATATGCTCAACGAAGCCTTTAAAGGATCTGCCAATAAAAGTTCGGTCTGGCGATTTGATACCCCGTTTTAGAGGATTTAAAATGGGGTATATCTTGTATACACACCGGTTGGATTTACTATAAATTAATTACGATTATTTAACGAGACTTATAGAAGGCCTGCTTTAGAACACATCCATTTTTTTATGAACTATATATAATAATATGGTTTTACTAAGTGGTACTCTTTAAAACAGGCATAGTTAAGTCTAACAACAAACTAATCAGCTTGCATTATTTTTATACGTTTTTCCTGTGCCACTTGTGGCACCCACAGAGCCTGTGAATCGTAAACCGAAGCAAGCTCTTTTTTTTGGGATGAATGAAATGACCGGCCGGCCAGCGGACCGGGCCAACAGATAGGCCCAGCCAGACTGACTGACGGAGGAGGCATTTAGAAAGTACACTCACGCCGAGCGGAGGGGGAAAATAAATTGAAAAACTGTAAAGCAAATTACCGGCAAAAGGCATTGTGACAAGACATCGCGTGGGTGATCGTCGTCGCTCCAACTGCGGATTGGAATCGGTGTGGAAAGGGGTATGGATACGGGTATGGGTGCTGGGCGATCATGTCTGGACAGAGACAGTTTTGTATATAATTCACATATAGTTTAGCCGCCGGTTATGAAATGCTCCCGAATGAGTTATTATTTAAAATATTTTACCACATGTCGGTTTAACTGCTAAAACCTAATAAGCCCCGGGCCATTAATGCACCAAAAACTGCAATCAAAAAGGAGTTTCGAGAGATTTTTGGATTATAAAAGTAAAATCAATTATAAATTGAACATATTAATTGATTTTAATTAAATGTGGAAATAATCTAATTTAACTCGATCATTTTATATATAGTGTTACCAGAGTAATCTTTTTAAGAAGATTGTTTTACTATTAAATATTTACCAAGGTATATATTTTATTTGATTTAAGGTAGTTTTGTAAACATTTTTAGTACCCCACTGCCTAAATATTTAAGTTTCTAGGTTGTATTCTTGATATATTTACTACAAAACTATTCAAGTATCTATAAAATACTTTCCAGAAAGCCTTAAAAGTTCTAGAAATTCTTTGTGACAATAAAAACAAGTTAGTTATCACCCGAAAGTAATTAGTTAGGCAAATAACAACAATCAGTTAACACCTTCCAATGACAAGTTAAAATAATTACTAAATAAACCATGATGCTGCACATTAAATAAACCCCAGCTGATGAATATTTAATTTACGATAATATATAATTTACGATTTAAGTGCTTGGCGCCTTCAAATGCCTAAAAATAAACCGCAGTTACGTAGTCAGCAAATAATTGCATTGCAGTTAATCAATATCAAGTGGCAGGGGGCCACACAACTCTATCAATGAAACGTAAACAAATGCATGCGCTTGTTTATATATATATATTTTACTATATATATAACGTACTCGTATACTATATACGCCATGCGACTGCCAGGCAAAACAATTATCAACAATTGGAAATGCATTTTTCAGAGGCAAAGATTAACAGCGAGCTCTCGATGTCGCGTGCAAATGAGTAAACACAACGCGCTGGGAAATGCCTCAGAATTGTGAAAAATCTAAAATGAATCGTCTGTCACGTAGCCGGTGGTTGGCCTGTATCATATGTCCCCATCGATAATCACTAAATTGTACAGGTCTATTTTTAGCTAACAAAAGCAAACCCCAGCAAAACATTTAGCTGTGACCTTGCTAGCGCTTCAATGAGTGAAAGGCATCTTTGATCTCGTCCAGATTTTCATGGGCTACAGCATGTGAACGAACTTGGGTCGTGCCCACATCCCCAATACGTGACAAAAGCAACTGGTCCGGTTTCTGCTGATAAGGGTTTGTCGGAGAAATAAGAACCCCTATATAAGCAATAACCGAATAGCTGCTGATAAGAGCTCAAGTTGTAGATGAAGGCCAATGGAATGCTTGGAACCTAAACGACTAACCCATTTCATCGTCATGGGATATGTTACTTATTGAATTATGCTTGAAAACGACAATGCAGATTTTGTTAAGATTTTGTTGTTTCCGATGAGTTTTACAAATTGTTTAAAAAAATTGTCATATAAAAATATAGATTCAATTAATATGAATATTTTACGCTTAGTTATGATCGATTTCTGATTCGATCCTATATTTCAATTGCAAGCGGGAAGGATATATAAGCAACGGCAACAAAGTGGTAAATATTTTATATCAAAACAAAGGTACGTTATATATTTTATCTACCTCAGAGACCAACAACTTTATCTTACATTTTTAAGTTTTTCCTATACTGAAATATAATTACAAATTACCTCTTTTAGTAAGCCCCATAATAAGTTAATGTTTCAAGTAATATGTCACGTTAATTGGGAAATTCTTTCATACTGATTACTTGAATTACGCCAGCAGGAGGAAATATTTCACATGGAAACACAAATAAAAAGGCACGTCAGTGGGTCAGGGGAACTTATCAGTTAAAACCCCTGGCGCACCGAATGTCAAGTGCACTTCAATATACTCAAACAGCAGAGGGTATTATTGTGGCAACGAATCATTAACTAAAGAAATTATAACATTATTTCTTCTATTCCAATGTTGTCCTATTTAAAGACCTATTAAGTACCTTTGTACTTAAAATTAAATATAAATAATTAAATAGGAAGTGAACTTTTTAAATAAACCCGACATGAATATATTTAAATATTATTAGACTACAGCCATTTGGCATTATAAAAAAACTTAAGTAAGTGACCGCGAATGTGGATCAATAAAAAAGACTCACCTTTCCTCTGCCTGCTGTTGACCCTGTGGTGGCTCCGATGGTTGGGTCTGCTCCTCCAGCGCCCGCTGCTGCTGCTGCTTTGGTTCCTCTAATTCACTAACACTATGCACTTCTCCGGCATTATTCCCTTTATTATTATTAAGATTTAATTGATTATTTGGCACTTGGGCGGTGGAGCTATGGGATGGGGAGGCGGCGTTTGTTGCCTCGTCAAGCGGCGGCAGCATTTCATTAGCCGCTAAATCGAATTCACTAACATATTCACTATGGCTATTTACACGATGTGGAGGCGATGGTTTCTCCACGGGCAGCGGTGTATTTACAGGCACTGACGTGTCCCCTGTTCTTGGCGGGCTGCCAGTTTCGGACTCCGCAATGGAGGCAATGGGTTCTCCACTGTCTTCCGTTGCACTTTTCGGCACTTTTTCCTCGGGGGGCGCGGGCGGGGGTTCTGGTTTTGGTGGCGCCTCCGTCCTTCGGGGATTTGTGTGTGTATTTTCAGCTGCATCCGGACTTCCGTGCGAGCCGCCGCCATTTACAACAACAGGACTATCACTGCCGCCAGCTGCGTCTCCCTGGACTCTTCCCTGCGCATCTGCTGCCGCCACATTGTCATAGAGCCAGAAACAGCAGCTGCAAGAAGAAAAAAATGCGGAAAAACCCCTTTTAGAGAAACTCTCCTAAGCGGATCACCGTCCGCTGGTGCGAGATCTGGGCCACTCACCTGAGCAGAAGATTTATGTACATAAAGCGCACTAAATGCAGTCGTATGTGCATATTTTCAGTTTGTTTCGCTAGACTTAATCGCGGCCTTAATCCCTAATTACTATTTTTCGCACACCGCCGAGGCACGTCCGCAATGCTTGCAGAATGTATTGATCTACCTTCGCGGCTGTCATTGGATTCTTCGGAAAGCCAGAGGGCATTTCATTACGGTTAGCACGAATCCGGATTGCACTTCATAATTTTCTAGTTAAAAATAATAAATAAACTAAAAAGCGCTGCAAAAATGTCAACGCTCACCTAAAACAACAAAAAACTAGAGATGGGAGACTTTGCGATAGACGGGTATCGAATAAATGGGTTTCGCTCACGTCTTGCTATCGATAACTCTGTTTTGTGTTCGATGTTAATTTCATGCGACTGACATAAAAATACCTATTTCAATAAAAAAAAATGATAAGTGCAATAAGAAATGTCACCTTCATTAAAAATTAAGTTTTTTTAATATACTTAGTTACATTTTGCTTACCGATAGGAAAATAAACTATTTATTTGTAGTCGAGTGTTATCGATATGTCTGCAATGCAATTGTTATTGTTTTGAGACTTTCGACGCTAATGATTCGCAAAAATCAAAATAAAACAGAAATAGTTAATTTAAGTGCACAATAGAAAGGCGAAAATGTCTTTCCTGCGCGGCTCTGTGAGCTATGTGTGGTGCACAACCAGCGTGCTCGGAAAAGGGGCCACCGGCTCCGTTTTCCAGGTAAGGCTAAAGTGCTGTGGCAGCTTTTTTCACCTGACTCACTTTTCCATTTCCACCGATCTTAGGGGGTTAACAAAATCACAGGCGAATCGGTGGCGGTTAAGACCTTCAACCCGTATAGTCACATGCGTCCGGCGGATGTGCAGATGCGGGAGTTCGAGGCCCTCAAGAAGGTGAACCACGAGAACATAGTGAAGTTGCTGGCCATCGAGGAGGACCAGGAGGGACGGGGTAAGGTGATCGTAATGGAGCTTTGCACCGGAGGCAGTCTCTTCAACATCCTCGACGACCCGGAGAACTCTTACGGGCTGCCGGAGCACGAGTTTCTGCTGGTGCTGGAGCACCTGTGTGCCGGGATGAAGCATCTGCGAGACAACAAGCTGGTGCATCGCGATCTCAAGCCCGGAAATATTATGAAGTTCATCTCGGAGGACGGCAGACTATCTATAAGTTAACAGACTTTGGAGCTGCCCGTGAACTGGAGGATAATCAGCCTTTTGCTTCGCTTTATGGCACTGAGGAGTACCTCCATCCTGATCTCTACGAGCGAGCAGTGCTTAGGAAGTCCATACAGCGTTCTTTTACTGCCAACGTAGACCTGTGGTCAATTGGAGTTACTCTATACCACGTTGCCACCGGGAATCTGCCTTTTAGACCCTTCGGGGGACGAAAGAACCGCGAAACCATGCACCAGATCACCACTAAGAAGGCTTCCGGCGTGATTTCCGGAACCCAGCTGTCCGAGAATGGGCCCATTGAGTGGTCTACCACCCTGCCACCTCATGCTCATCTGTCGCAGGGTTTAAAAACGCTGGTGACACCTCTCCTAGCCGGACTGTTGGAGGAGAACAGAGAGAAGACTTGGTCTTTTGATCGGTTCTTCCAGGAGGTGACTCTCATCCTGCGCAAGCGCGTCATCCATGTGTTCTACACCAATCGCACAAGCTCCGTGGAAGTGTTTCTTGAACCCGACGAGCAGATTGACAACTTCCGTGAGCGCATCTTCCTGCAGACAGAGGTGCCGTTGGAAAAGCAAATCCTGCTGTTTAACAACGAGCATCTGGAGAAGAAGGTTACACCACGAACCATAGCAAAAGCATTCCCTGCCACCACCACGGAGCAGCCAATTTTCCTATACAGCAACGATGACAACAATGTCCAGCTACCGCAGCAATTGGATCTTCCAAAGTTTCCAGTATTTCCACCAAATGTTTCCGTGGAAAATGATGCTAGCTTGGCTAAGGCAGCATGCAGTGTGGGCCACGAATGCAAAAGACGAGTGGACATTTTCACTTCAATGGATATACTCATCAAAAAGGGTGTGGAACACTTTATAGAGATGCTAATTACCACACTTACTCTTTTGTTAAAGTGAGCTTAAATACCTTTCTGTCTTGCGTTAATTTCATGTAATATTTTTCTATTTATTAAGGAAAACTGAGAGCTTTGAAAACCTGCTTTCCACAGTGATTGATTATGCAGATGTGGTTCAGAGCATGGCCAGAGTGGTGAGTGGTCTTATTATTAATTTGGAGACAAGTCTAATGAGTACTAACTTTTTTTATAGACCAAAGGAGATCAGGAGCTAAAGGCCCTGCTGAGTGCTTTGGAGAACGTGAAGAGCGATTTTGATGGAGCGGCTGATGTGATCTCGCAACTACACAAGCATTTTGTGACAGATGATGAACTGAAGTGAGTTTAACACAGACTCGGAATTCGATCTTTAACCACAATACATTTGTTTTCCTTAGCGATCAATGGTCATCTTCTATGCACGGCAAGAAGTGTCCCTGTCGCACCAGAGCTAGCGCCCAGGCCAAGTATCTTGTCGAGCGGCTGAGGGATTCCTGGCAGCACCTACTCCGGGATCGCGCCACACGGACCCTGACTTACAACGATGAACAGTTTCATGCACTGGAGAAGATCAAGGTAGATCACAATGGCAAGCGCATCAAGGCGTTACTTTTGGACAATGTTAACCCCGCTGTGGCTCAAATCGCCGAATGCCTAGCGGATTGGTATAAATTGGCCCAGACCGTCTATCTTAAGACACAAATTCTAGAGAAAGATGTGCGAGATTGCGAACGAAAGTTAAATGGCATTCGCGATGAACTATATCACATCAAATCGGAGCTAAAACTGGACGTGGACACCAAAACAATAAACAACAACAATCAGCTGGCCAAGATCGAGGAGAGAAATCGTCTGAGGGTGATGCAGCAGCAACAACAGGAGGTAATGGCTGTTATGAGAACCAACAGTGAGATAATAAGTTTGCTAAGCAAACTGGGGATTGGAAAGGGGATCGGAAACGGAGGCCTTGAGAGTAGTTAAGAAACGCTTTGAGATTCAAAGCATAGCTATTAAGTATTGGTCTGTACGTCAGTAATATATCTTTTTTAAAAATACATTTTATAAGTATTGTGGAGACCATTTGTAGTCTCCAAAATTGGATTATTTTAAACAATCTATTTTTGAATTTAAATAGTCGATAGGTCGATTGCGGAACCGAGAGTTCGATTGTTCGATAGGTAGCAGGCCTCCCATGGTCACACTGGCGCAACCGGCATTTGTTTTGTTTTCGTAGTATCTTCAGCTTTTGTTTTTTTTTTTTTCAAAAAGATGCATCCCCCGCCATGCTTTACATTCTAGACGTTTTAGTGGACTTCCTGGATGGGCACCTGCTGCGACCACTAACCACCGTGATCGATGCGGTGATCGCCGGTGTCTACTACTTCCTGTGGGTCAGTTACTTTATCGGCTACTGCCTGGTGGAGGGGAGCACACAAGTATGGAAATTTTTGAGGTTCGCCGCTAGCGGGATACATCGCCATTACTCGGATCTGTATTACACCACGCAGGGTGTAACGGAGTACTTTTACCGCGGCACAACCCACGGCCTGCGCAATGTCCGGGATCTATGTCAGTCCGTGGGTCTGTTCCTATGCAATCTTCTCATCGAGCTCGGGAATTTCGTGCTCTGGGTGCTGATGCTGCTGCCGAGGTTCTTAATGTTCATCTTCGATTGCGTCGTGGAGTTCGTGATGCACTCGATTGTGGCGCGCGGCCTGAGCCTGCTGAACAGTGTATTCCGGCTCTCTATAGGTTTAACACTGCTCCTGGTCCTTTATATGTTCCGACGCTACGTATACCTGCTGCTCATCTACCTGCTTCACCGCGCTCGCTTGGAGATCACAACGAAGACGCAGAGCGTCTATCTGTGGACCGATCAGCAGTTGACGCGCTTCAAGGAAAATATGCGCAAGGAGCCGGTGAACGCCTCTCCACCCCAAGGAGGAGGATGTGTGATTTGCCTGGAGCGCATCAGGACCATCGTTATCATGCCCTGCCGGCACCTCTGCCTGTGCTGCGAGTGCTGCGATCAACTGATGCTCCGCTACGAGAACCGCTGTCCTGTCTGTCGCAACGACGCCGTCCAATATCTCTCGGTCTACGTGTGAGGACTACTATCTTTTGTACATAGAACGAAAGACTGTCAATTGGAAATTAGAAAGTAAGGTAACATAAACAACACAAAAAACTCAATCTTACGGGCAATATATAATAAATGTATGAAATAAGGCCAAAGAGAACTATTGATCTAATATAAACCACCAGAAGCCGGACTATGATCAACAGGTGAATCATTAATTTCAACCCATGACAACATAATCTTCAAGAATCGATAAACGTCGCCACAGAAATAACAAAGATCGTACAACTAAATTATTTTCTGTATTTTATTTCAAACCAATGAAAATATACGTTTTGTTTTGTTTACATTTATGTAAATACGGTTTGGTTTTTCGTATAACTAATTTGCTCAAAAGACAGATATAGAAAAAACGTAGTTTGGTTGTTTTGTTTGGGCTTATACAACTTTATTAAATTTATATTAAAATCGAAATGAAATGATTTGCTTTGCTTGGTATTGTGTATTGCATAGTTAATTGAATTGCAGGATATACTCGTATGCTTACCGCTTGTTTACTTAACTGTTGAATGAAACGATCAAATTAGAGTTAAATTACACAACGGGCTATGTAGTAGCTATAATCGGTACTCATCTATAAGATAGATATATGTTAGTGTATACATATAGCGTCTTTAGGTTTCACCTCTTTCTCAGCTTTCTTCTGCTCTCATTGCTAGTAGTAGGCGCATAAGGGGGTCTGGGATATAGTTTAAGTTACTAGGTCTGCTGTGTGTGTTGAAGATATAACATCGGATGCACCTTTACGAATTTATAACATTTTGTTTCGAAAAACATCTAATTTATGCTATGCTAATTTAATTTGTGCCAATTTCTTGAATCTGTTCTGCTTTCTGTCGTATAAAGCATTATGCGCTGCTTCTAGCTTAAAACTAACTGTTACATAGTAAAATATATATGTATATTAATGTGTATATATCATTTTCATAGCAATATTAAAAAGTTCTCTCGTTTTAAAATCGTTTCATCGAAAAATTTCACACTTTATCTGTTATATTTCTGTATCTCAAAAATATGAATCCACACACTTGACATTCACGTAAGTAGTATCTATTATGTATGCATTTATAAAATTACAAAAGAACATTAAACCAAAATATATGTATATGTATATGCTCGCTCCGGTATGGCCATATCCAGCTACATATATAGCTTAGCGCCAGAAGTAAGTACTCGTAACTTGTAAAAGTTGCCGCTCTATTCAAAATATATATATATGTATATATGGTGTAAATATGTATGTATGTAGGTCTAATGTTTCCATGCTGTGTAGGTACAAAGTAGGTTCCTATAGCTAGATATATATAGTATATTCATAATATTAAATATATATATTCATGTGCATGATTGATATTCAATGTATTCATTGTTTGTAACGGCTAAAAAATGGCATCGCTTTGAGGGTTTCGAACCCGAACCTATCTTACGTCTCGTCCCGTTTCAAATTGTTTTGGTCACCTAACTGTTCCTATTTTTTCCTGTTTTATTCCCGCTCCTAACCGTTACAAGTTTAGGTTTAGTTTATAGTATTAATAGTTTATTCAAGGTGCTTCATGTCCTTATGAATTATTGCTCTATATGGTTTCGCTTAGGATTTATATTTGATCAGATCGCATTAACCGATGATAGGTAAATTTGAAAAGATTCTTTTGAACTAACAATGTTAAAATATTATTTAAGGAATTGGAATTTGGGAATTCCGGTGATTTGCCACCATAATAAATCGAAGATCTTGAGAAATCCTTTCAAATCGACTCTCATTTTATTAATTCGACCCGTATTGGTTTTTTGTTTAGCTTCAGCTTAGCCGCATGCAGATCAAGGTTTATATATTCTTATATATATATTTTAGCTTGGCCTAGTTCTTCTTTAAGACAGTACAAAATCTAGTTGTCAAACATTGGATGTGCTACATGTACAATAATTTAATAATGATCTATCTAAGTTGTATAGTTAATGAAAAATGTATTAAACAACTCTTGTCTGCCCAGGCATACCAATATATATATTTTTAAAATAGATTTAGTAACACTTGGGTTTCTGTTCTACGTGCATTCGAAAGCTAGAAGAGATATGTTATTCACATTGGTTTTTCTTGTGTTTTTGTAAACATTTAGTTATAGAAGTCTTGAATTTTACACTTAGAAAATGTCTTGCGTTAATACAAACGTTAATTGGAAAGTTGCTAAAGGCTGGTACTTTTGAAATTTCCTCATAACATGCATACATTTGAAATATTTGCTATCTAACGATCGATTTATTTCCTCGTCATTTTATGTTATCAAAGAAAAGTTGTACATATAAAATAAACCATACAAAAGTTGGACATAAAAATATATATTTATGCGTGTATACGTATTATAGATATACATATATATATGTATATATATATATAGAGTTCAATGCCAATCTATCACAAAATCACATAGAGGGGTTTCTATCGAAATAACACACACATATAGAGAGAGATATATAGATCCGTCTATCTATCATCTAGCGTTTCTTTGAGAACTTGGTTTCTTTCAGATTAAATAAAGGGTTTTCTCGTTTGGAACGTACTAACTATGGATTTACAGACGTATTATAGGATTACCGAATACTGGGGCTTAATCTACAGAATATTTTAATATATATATTTTATATCCTTATATCATATCTTACTTGCTAGCTTGTGTGTTTGTGTGCAACTCTCTCTGTGTCAGACACAATCATCACAAAAAGGTACTTAAACTCTCAGTGTGCACTAGTAGGTGCATAATCGTAAATCGAAAAGAATAGTCCTTAGTCTATATTCAGAGATTAAACTATTAGGAGCCTTAGTCTATAATTAACAGAAATACTTGGGTTCGGGGATATCAACTATATGCAGGGGCCTATTAATATTGGCTAACGGCAAGCATGGCATTGCTATTTGATATGATATTGAGCTCCACAAATTGGAATTGGAATCTAAAGATAATTTCGAAAATAATACTTTACTTTGGAAAGTCTGAGATTAAGGAAAGTTCAAAATTTATTTGTTAGGGAATCCTCTTCCGATTTGGGAAACTGTGTTGGTTTATTATTTAAGAGAACTGTCTGGTTTATTCTAAGGTATAAATAATATAACTCTACTGGCTGCATGCTTGTCTTTATTTATTCCTTTTGTTTGCCTTAAAACAATTGACTAGAAGTTAGCAAAAAGGCAAGAGAGCGTCTTGTCCGTCCTTGTCCGTCGGTTTTAAGCAAGCTTTGAGTGTTCGGGCTTTCGAGGGATATTGTATAAGACGCCGTGTCCATTGCGTGCGCATTGATTTCGACAGTTGAAATGAAACAATTTAACAATTAACGTCAACAAGTTGTAATTTCCAGCCTTGACGAGTCACGCAGGAGCTGATTTTGCAGCGGAAACCCCCTTTCTCAAATATTCATGTCCGTAATTATTCGAGGGGTTTGTGTGTTGTCTTGTCTATCTAGCCCTACTCTATGTCTAAAGATATGGCCTGGGTCTGCGTTTTATTTCGGGTTTCTTGTTTCAGTGAGATTTCATATAATTCGGGCTCTACTAAAGCTAGTTCGGGGATACCTGTAATATATACTATATACTATATCTTAAGGGGCATAACTTAGGGCTAGTTTAAGGAAGCAAGGTTGTGATGATACGCTGGATGATGTTCGATCGCCTAGAAGGGCAATGTGGTGACGAACATATTCTCGATGAGGGCCGGGGCTGGTACCAGATCCTCCAGCTTCAGATAGAAGATGCGCTGAAGTCCCTGGACACTGAGGGAGCGCAGCTCAGGCAGCTTTCCCAAGAGCCGGCTGAAGTAGTGCTGCTTCTTTTGGGCCTCGGCATTGTAGGTGACATGATCACGGAGACTGCCAATGATCTTCATCTGGAGCTGTTCCACCTTCTTTGGCTCCCTTAAGCCATGACGTTCTGCAGATTAAATTACAATTGAATTAGTCAAGAAATAATGATGATAATTAAAGGAGTATTCATGGATTAGCAGTCATAATTCAAGGTATGATAAATAGTGAGATTACCCACCTGTGATCAGGGTGAGGGCGCAGAGGCAGGCGAAGGCGGAGATGTCGATCTCCAGGTTGTGTAGACTGTGACTGAACTCCATGATGTCGTTGAGCCATTCCCCGAAGGATCGCTGGCACTGGCTGCGATGGAGCACTGTGCCATTGCAGAAGATCATCTTGGTGTCGTCGCTCCTGGAGCGATACGACAGGCGGAGAACGAACAGCTCCAGGGAGGCGCTCTGGAACAGCAACTCCTGATCCTCGGGTAGGAGATCCAAGTAGCCGGGTATCTTCTCGGCAAATTGCTTGATCACGTCCACAGAGCTGGTCAGCAGGTGATAGAACTGCTGCACCTTGTCCGCCTCGCTCATCGTGTGCTCCTCGTAATGGCTGTAATCCAGGCAGGAGGGATCAGGCGTGGTGTCCACATGGCTACGCACCAAAGCCGTAATCAGTGAGATCGGTGGCGATGGAGGAGACTCCTGAGGAGACTTTGGCTTCGAGGGCAGTCGTCCCCTTCGTCCCTTTAGCGAATCAGTTCGCACCACTTCCTTGACCATGCCGACGACCAAACACTTCTGGAACCGACAGAACTGACAGCGGTTGCGCCGCCTCTTATCCACCGGACAGTTCTTGTCCGCCAGGCAAACGTACTTGGAGCCCTTCTGCACTGTCCTCTTAAAGAATCCCTTGCAACCCTCGCAGGTTCGAACTCCGTAATGCTGACAGGCGGCCGTGTCCCCACAAACTGCACACAATTGTGATGGAGCCTGAAGGAGCCGTCCTGCCTGGAGATCCGCACTGGCCGGCGAACTGGCCGCTGAATTTGGGGCCGAGCTTAGCTGGAGCGGGTGGGCGTGGGTGTGCCTCTGGCCGAGCGTGATCTTGGCCAGCTTGGGACTCTGCGCAGAGGAGCCGGCGGGCGAGACGGTTCGCTGGACGGGCAGCGATGCCCGGCGACCAGGCGGAGGACCACCCAGCGAAGGCGAGGATATGGTAGCAGCTGCTGCTGCTTCCACGGCCGCTGTGGCCGCCGCCAGTTCGGAAATCGTGGGGAAAGTGGGCAGCGAATAGCGCTCGCCATTGTGAGAGGTGTAGTTCTAAAAAAGGTTTAAAAAATAAAGCATAAGAATTTAAATAATTCCTTCTTCTGGTTTATATTTGAAGGGAGTGTATAAAGTTTTTATAGAATGATTCAGGTGGAATTAGGCTCTACTTACATGTTGCTGGTAGCTCTGTTGCTGCTGCTGCTGCTGTCCGTAGAAGGTATCGGTGGCGCCGACTCCATTGTACTCATACAAGGAGCTGGCCGAGGAGCTGGGCGAGAGATTGGCGCTGGCATTGATGGCATTGAAGTGGCCATGGTAGTTGTAGGCACCGCTGTTGTTATTGCTGCTGTTGCCATTGGGATGCGACATCTGGGATTGGGACTGCGACTGGGTCTGCAGGGTGTGGAGCTGCTGGAGCTGTGAGGGTGCGGGCGGACTGGCGCTCCAGCCACCGGATAGCGGCGGGAAGCAGTCCTCATCCATCTTGAGGGTCAGCACCTGGTCCGTGGGTGTGGGAGCTGCCGTGGAGGAGGGGGCACTAGTGGAGCCGGAGGCGGAGGCCTGCTGGGGGCTGCTTCCGCTGCTGCTGTTGTACTTCAGGGAGTAGGTCTCCTGGAAGCTGGGCAGGCTACTGCCGCAGGACAAGGGCCCACCAATGGGCGAGATCAGCTGGAGTTGCTGCTGCTGCTCCGGGTGCTGTTGCTGTTGCTGCTGCTGCTGTTGTTGTTGATGCTGCTGCTGCTGCTGGGCGTGCAGGGCAATTGCCGGATCGCTGCTGGAACGCAGACTTAGCAGACAGAGCTGCTGCTCCTGTTCCGAGCTCAGCTGTTGCTCCGGGATCGAGGACAGACGCTTGTCGCGCAGACAAGTCAATTTGGTAAGGTTCTCAATGGAGCTGGTTAGGTCCTCGGCGGGATTGTCCGGATAGCCACTGGTGGTCGGCGAGAGCAGGGAGTTGTTGGAGTCCGAGGGGAAGAAGAGATCCGAGAAGAGTTCACTGTGGGCCACAGCCGAGTCGGTCAGGTTGCTGATCAACTGATCCTCCTCATGGGAGAGCAGCGACTCCGTCTTTAGCAAATGCTGTTGCGGGCTCACAAGTTGCTGCTGCTGTTGGTGTTGCAATTGTTGCTGCAGTTCCAGTTGCTGCTGCTGCTGCTGTTGCTGTTGGTGTTGCTGCTGCAGTTGATTCTGCTGTTGCTGATGATGCTGATGGAGGAGATGATGGTGGTGGTGGTGTCCAGCTGCGGCTGCCGACGTTGTCGTGGTCGTCGTAGCGGTTTGCGTGGAGAAGTTATCGAAGGGCGACAGCGAACTAAAGGAGCTCTGCAACGATAGACGGTCCGCAGACGAATGAGTTACATTTCACGCACAGATATCCTAGCTAGCCCTGCTTAGCCATCCTTGCATATCCTAGCCCTGAGGGTGGAGTCTAGTCCCTTCCGAGGCGACATGCGCACTCCCCACCACAACGCCCATTGGCTCTTGTGTGAAAAGCAACCCTTAAGGCAGCGAAAACTGTTCTTTGCTGATTTCCTAATTGGTTATGGTTATGCCAAAATGTTTTCCAAACATTTACACTCATCCAACAATAGCTATCTAATTGCTGGTGCAATTGATATCCTCACCGCAACACCTTGACTCCACTCAGGAGGAGTCAACACTTCGCAGCTGCCAATTAGCACTGCCATTCATGTTTTGGTTTGGAAAATTTGCATAGATTTTGTTGCTTACTTTTGTTTATGATTTTTCTACACCTCAGTGGGAGGTTGGAGATTTAAATAAACAAATTAATATGCTTTTTTAAGGATGCCAGAAATTGTTAGGGATATAAATAAAATATCAAAAGTTCAGCATCTATAGAACTTTTCATAAATACTTTACACTTTCTATATATTGTTTTCTTATCTAATATATATCTAAATGATCCCGATCTATCCTTTATATATAAACACTATATTAAGCCAAAGTAAACTTACATTGGGTTGCAAAAGTAACATGCTTGTTGTCGCTGGGTTATTAAGCCTCACTTGGCTGATTTTGGTTGTTTGGATTGCTGCTGCTGCTGTTGTTGCAGTTGCAGTTGATGTTGCTGTCGCAGCTCCTCCTGTTCCTGCGGCTGTTGCTGCTGATGTTACAGCAATTTCTGTTGCTGCTGTCGTAGAGGTTGCCGCGGTGGTGGCAGCTACTGTTGCTGTTGCCGCGCTGTCGTTGTCGTTGCTGTCAGTTTTCTCGCCTTTCAATTTCCCAAGCAGTTTAATTTTCCTCGGCTCGTTGACTGATGTTGCTGCTGCTGCTGCTGCTGTTATTGCTGCTGCACCTGCAAGGATATTTCAAGGGAAGACAGTAAGAGAGGGTCTCTTAGCGATTTAGCATATGCATAAAGTCAAGCGGGCATGAATGCCAAAAATGAAGGCGAGTCTCCAGGGTGAGCTTAATGCTAAATGGTTGGTGAAATGCCAAAATCCGCCATAGATATGAGCAGATTCATAATGCTGCCGCTGCCGTGTGCTAATGTTGCCCAATTGTCTCGCGTTCCACACGCAAGCCCCGTATCGAATGTCTTAATTAGAAATGCTCAGCTTCAGTCCCATGCCCGCTGTCCACATAAATAAATATATGGATATATTTGTGGATATTGTGGATAATCCGAGAGACACCTCCTCATTGTGTTTGGCGGCGGGGTTGGCCAAGAGGTGAGCTCACGTTGCAACCAAGATATAGCCACCAAAAAAAAAAAAAAGAAAACAAGAAATAAAACCTAAACGAGGATCACATCTCCATCGTTCGGTTAATGCGGCACATAAAATGTAATAAATTGTGTTGTCCAATGTTGCACGTTCCTGTGGCTGCCTCCTTGGCCACGTTGCGGGTGTTCGGTTTTGATTATAATAAATATTTTGGCGGATTCGCCGCCATTCGCATTGCAAAATGCCTGCCTAAAGTTCGTTGAGGCAATGCGAAATCATTTTTCATAATTTGCATAATTTAAGCTTGTCTTTGAATGGAAATTGGAGTTGGCATTCTTTGCATACTATATATCTAAACAGGCTCTTTTAAGCTATGACCCAAAACAAAAGTAAAAAATTTGATATAAAATTAAAATAAATATCCGAATCGCCCTTATGGCACCCATAATTTTAAGAAATCTCATGAACTGTCAGCAGTTTTCATTAACCATTAATTAAATGAGTCAAATTTCAACAAAACTATTATTCAGCCGTATGAGTCTATATATTTGGTGGCTAATCTTTTTCCAGCGATTTTTCAGCAACTTCAGTTGACTTCTGGCCGCCTGACTCTTTTGACACTTTTTATCTGCGAGAATTAGTTAAAAAGCGGCAACACGAAAATAATAATCATAGCCCACAAGATTTTATATATATTTTGCTGGATTTTTTATTTTTTGTATTTCCTAACGTGTGGTGGTGTCTTGGCTTGAATTTGACAAATTAATAAATGATTTGGCTGGAAGTTGTTGTTATTATGGCGGCGTCTGAGGGGGCTGTCGTGTCAGTTGTCTTGGACCAAGCCAAAAACAAAACAGAAAAACGTGGACATAGTTCATAGAGGGCAGTCATAAAAAATAATGAAAAAAAGATGGATAGATAAATACACATATAAATATATACCATGTATAAATATTCATGATAGGCGAATTAGAAACATTAAATATTGCACAAAAAATATTAAACAAGCTTGAATCTAAGTGGAAATTAAAGATGCTTTTGCACTTTAAGTTATAAACATAAAGTAAAGATTCTTGTAGTGGCTGTGACCAATTATATTTCCCTCATAAAACACCCATAAATCATTTGAAGATTTTTAATATCTAAGAATCGATTTTCCCATTTGACTAGAATTTCAAGTTTTCCCCAAAAAAATCAAGATATTTTGAAAAAACAACTAAATGCACAGCTTGCCACTTGGATGATTAAGCGTTGCACTTTTTTGGCTAAACTAAAAAAAACTCCGACTGAGAACCATATGCACATAACTATAAGTTCTATTGACGCTCCCCATTTTGGTTTTATTTTTTATTTTCTTGGCAGTGACAAATATTCAAAACCTGTCTGTCGGCTTCGTCAATTGCGCTTTTTGCCTAGAATGCCATCTTGATGGAAGAAAAAACCGTGTCAAATGCAAATGAGAAATGCCTGAAGTAAACCCTAAATTGCTCCGATGATATAACAACTGTATCTTCTATTGCATTGAGCAATTAACTGACTGACAATGGAGGAAAGGTCCAAAAGACTGACTGGCTATTGCATAAATCAATCAAATTGTCTCTCACTTGGTCGCATCTCCATTGAGTAATAGATCCAATTTCGATATGAAACAGAAATTGGGTTTTCTTCTCTTCTTCGCTATTTTTTTTTTGCAAAAAGAAAAAAAGGAAAAAAAACTTTAAATACCAACCCCATTACCCATTAAGCAACAACAATAACAACAACAAAGATGGTTAGTACAACAATGAACAACAATTGATGAAAATCGACAATTAATAGTGAAAGTCTAAGGCCCAGACGAATCATCATCATCATCAAAGGTACTCGGGAACTGCAGGAAGTTGGCTGGTTCACGGGGTCTGGGGACCAAAGACCGAAAACTTGGGGGAGTCTGAAGACTCCAGTCTGGGGACTCCTCCATGTCTATTAGGCCATGGAGTCTGGGCTTTGTCGCTGTCGTGGATTTCAAAGGCGATACCATCGAAGCCGCCAAGTTGCAGCCAAGAAAAACCTGCACCAAAATGAGTAAACTCCTTTGGCTGCACAGTAAAGAAATACGGCAGAATATAATAAATAATAATAATTTAAAATTAAAACTTAAATAGAGTAGAGAGTAAAGAATTCCGCTTCGTTTCTAAGTATCCCAACATATATAAACCTTCAACTGATAGAGTTTAAATTGTCTAAAAAATCCTCAATATTCCAGAAACTCTGCATTTTTTCTCCATGTAACTGAGTGAACTGAACCCGAGACCCATTTGTATACTTCTCACAGATCTTCACACGGCAACGGCGACTGTTGCACCCACTGACTCAATGACTGAGTGGCCGGGCCGGGGCCATTTTGACCCAGGCGAAGAGCGAAGTCGTCTTCGAGACTCGCATTACCATTTCTTTGGGTCACTGCACAGCGATTCCCCTGCGTTTGGTCCGTCAATTTCGGCTGATGTCTACATGTCCAGGGACCAGGTCCAGGTCCATCCATTGATCAGGCAAGGCAACCCAAAAGAAACCCGAGACGAGTCGCTGCCTCCTCCATGGGGAGTTCGCAGTTCAAAGTACAGGCTACAGACTGCAGACTGCAGAGTATGGGGAGACCCAACAAAGCTTGCCAAATAATATGTATTAACGATATTATATAAAAAGAAGAAGAAAAACGAACGAAAAAAATTAGCAAACTTATGCAATGGCCAAGAAGAAGCACGAGTGCAGGCAAGTCTCCTCGTCTCTTCCCCCCTTTTTTGTGCCTAGTTTATTGTAATAAATTTGTTAACTAGCCCCGGCCAGAAAGTCTCTCTATCGTTGGAAAAGAAAAACAATTAGAAAACTGCAATTTTTACGGGGAAGATGCAACTCCAAACCAAACCCAAAATTACAAATTTCTTAATGTGCCTTTTCGGTGCTTTGGTTCACCGATTTATTTGGTTTGAGGCCATCAAAGACAATGGTTAAAATGGTTAATCTTGAATGTTTATCGCGCTCACTCTTCCCGGTAGCATTTTTGGCAGTAGCCCACGGTAGTTTTTTATTCAGCATCTTTTCCTTTATTTATATTTTTTTTCTTTATTTTCTTTGTCCGCAGATCGAAGAGTTCAGCCTCAGCCACATCTTCGATGAATTGCTTTCTAAATGACCCAAGGCCATATTTGGAATGATATTTCATATTGATCTGGGAACCCAGTCGAGCCTTCTGGGCGGCGTCTTGTTTCTGGCTGCCTCACAAAATAGGTGTGTTTATTTATTATTAATAATTCGAATATATATATATAGAAAATAGCGAATATTATAAGTGTGGGAGTCCAACATCTTGCCCAAGGAACGTGACTTTTGACATGGCAAGGGATACGAATAGATATTGACTTCTCATTCGAGTTTAAGATTATTTCTTGGAATCAAGAGATAATATCTGCTCTGAAGAGTTGGCTTAATTCACTAACAAGACTTCTTGGAAATGGCATAATTACAATCGAATCCAATAGATGAATAACAAACTGATATCAGAAAGAGATTTTAATAATGTTTAAATATTTTAATGAATAAATAATTGTACATAAAAGGATTAACTATGGGTGATTCAAAATGAAAGTTTTGAGTTTTTCAAATAACTTTGTAGTTGATAGTTTAAGTACATTGTTAATTTTCTAAAAATAACATAAAATTGTCATTTTAATTAGAGTTTATCTTTTGATATAAATTTTACAATTATGCCGTCTTCTATTTTTATCTAATAAGCAGTATTAAGAAGTCTTCAATTGGGGTTTAAATGCAATACAATACAATAAAAATTTTAAAAATATACAATAGCTTAACAATTTGAAGAAGTTATATCACTAAAGCTGTTAAAATCAGTTCAATGTCGGTTTCGCTATAAAATTGAAACAGAACCTTCGCAGAGTCTTTTTTCAAATTTACCTTCAGATCTACCAAGAAATATGCTTCTTTGAATATAACATTAATGGTAAGTCCAGTTAAGTGTTGTTTGTTTTTTATTAATTTTATGGGAATATCCAAAGTTTCGAAGCATAAATCATTGCGAGCATAAATCTAGCTGGCACCCAAGAAGCATGTGGTGGCGATAGATGTATCTATTAAGAACCCATAACCCCGCACAATTAAATGCAACTTGAAACTGTGTCAGCCATGTACACAATTACAGATACGTTAACAGATACTTAGATGCAGATGCAGCGACAGATACCGATGCTGACAATATAGAACTATCCGTGGCAAAAGGTCAGCTCGCGTTGGACATTGAAAGTGTTGGCCATCTTACAACGGCTGAGATGAACATAGCACAGGCATTCCGGCAACAGCATCATTAAATGGCAATAACAATAACAACATTGTTCAAGAATTTCAATTGAATGAGTCAAGAGCAGGGCAAAAACTCTGAAATTGTCGCAATAATTCGTATAAATCTCTTTGCGCCACTTTGAATGCCAAGTAAACCAGCAAGCGGACGGCGACATCATCGTCATCGCTTTTTAATCGCTGCAAAAATTCATCGAAGGCCATCTTGGACATTTCATAGCACCCGTACCCGTATCTCTGCGGGTTCCATTCCCCTCCAATTTATAAGCGAAATCCG